GGTTTTTCGAGACAGGGTTTCTCTGTGTAGCTTTGCGCCTTTCCTGGAACTCACTTGGTAGCCCAGGCTGGCCTTGAACTCACAAAAATCCACCTGCCTCTGCCTCCCAAGTGCTGGGATTACAGGCGTGCACCACCACCGCCCGGCTATCCAGCATTTTTTTTTCTAACCTCAAAATGTAGCACAGAAAATGACTTTAGGCTTATTTTATTTCATACATTGCTGAACTATCAGATCCTCTTTGGTTGCTTAAGTCTACAGTAGGGCTTTGGGCTTAGCTTGCTGGTTCAATCATGTGTAATAGTTATATTCAATTAGTATCTTCGTCACCCTTTCCCATACACATTATTTTTGAATAATTGTTGTGCATAATAACCGGGCAAAGGGGATCATTTTTCAGGTTACACTAAAATTTTCTACCTTGTCCTTCCTACCTTTCCGTTACCTATTTTTTCAAACCTAATGTCTTTAACTGTAGGAGATACTTAATTTTAAATAGAAATGTTATGTTTCTGAAAAAGTGTATCGCCATATAAGAAATATTGCTATGAAACTAAAAGATGTATCATTGGAAGGAAAAGCAATTAGAAAAAAAAAGAAGGGGAGGTGATTTACTACCATATCTTCATGTGCTGTTATCTGGTCTATTTTCCTACTTAATATGATAAAGAGTAAAGGAAGTGATACAAGGAAGGGAGGGCTTTTTGCATGGTGTGCAGTTAAATTGGGTACTGTGGTAACCCCTGGAACAGACTTGATGTCGTATTTTCTAATTTTCTAATGTATTTTTTTGTTTCAGGACTTCAATATTTCTTTATAAAGCAGTAGTTGATTTTCATAGCTTATTGACAAATGTTTTTTTAAAATCACAATTCAATTACTTTGTCTGGGTTTTTTGCCATTTAATATTAAATTGCTCACTCTTTATTATACAATAGACTGTGAAAACTGAACTGCTAATCTGTTAATGATTATAAATTAAAAATATATGAGTCATCTCATCTACATTTGAGCTGGCAACCAGCTAGGTCCCTTATGTACAAAGTGATTATTTTTTGATAACTAAGGTTTTGAGGTCCTTCATCCTAGTTCACTCAGAAGACATGAAAGGTACTACCATGCTGTTCTTTAAATGATAATTCTTCTCTCTTCTTCTGCTGTTGGCTGTGTTGCTTATGTTCTGGCAACTTAATGACAATAATAATTTGAAATATACTCCCAGCTTCATTCCTTCACTCTACCATCTGGAGTTGGCCACGTTTGTAGTATAGCACGTGCTCATCAGTGAAAGTAATCATTATTTCGCCATTTCCTGAACCTATCCAATGAAACAGTTGCCATGCTTGTCATTTATTTTTAGGTCAGTAGAGATGGGACTGTGTAGTCCTTCTTCTTTCAGAGAGTTTGTCTTTAAAAGCTCCATAGGACATTATGGAGCTTGCTAATCCAAATGGAAAATATTGGTACTTTTGGGGTTAGATAATTATACAATTATTCTCATCAGTTATAAGCTTGTTTTCCCTAACCTGGAACCGTGACTTTTTCCATCACAAATACTTCCCAGAACTCCATACTTCTCTGGAAAAAGAAATGAATTTATTTCATCTAACATATCTTTCCCATCTGTTATTATGTTAAGAATAAAACAGAAATTAATATTGAATCCTTTAATGAAAAAGACTGACAATTCTATTAAGACATAATTAGAAACATTTCCATCTTCATAACATCCAAAATATCAGCAAAATTAGAGTAATAAAAGGAATCAGATAAATTTTAATAGTTCATGCTTTTGAGCTTGACAAACTATAAATAAAACTTCAAGTACTAATATATCTTTCATTTTAGAATATGCTTCTAAAGCACTTTGTATAAAAATAATTCACTATACAAGTATTATGATAGGGAAAATTTTTAAATGATGTTTTAAAATAGGAGGTTGGCTAGAGTAGGACAAGTCCAGAAATGGAAAGTTGGATATTTGAACATTGCCTATGAAGACAATGGGAATGAGTGAAGGGGTGGGGGAAGTCTTCAAGGTAAAGATACATGATGAACATTAATACATGTAGGACAACTGTAGGAAATACTACATTAATTAAAACAAGTATAGGAAAATAAATATACTCCACTATAGTATCATTTGTTTTAGATTAGTTTACTTCTTTTTCATTGATAACTGGGGAGCCAGCCTCCAATCAGCACCAGGATATGTTAAAAAAAAAAAAAAAATCCAAGAATGCAGTGAGGGCTTAAGAAAAAATCTTATCTATCTGAGGGTTAGACTTTTTCTGAGGGGTAAATAAGGAAATACATTTTTTGATGGCAACTTTCTCTTTTACTTCATCTTGAAAAAAAACCTCTATTTGAAAATTTCTCTTGCTCTCTCTTCTAACTAGCTACTCATCTTTTCTCCTCTGCTCCCTCAGTACACCCTGCTCTTTACACAGCAGCTGTCCACATAGCTCAACACAGCCCCTTACATGGCTCTACCCAGCCCTCCACAAACCTCTACCCAGCCCTCCACATAGCTCTACCCAGCCCCCTCTCACAGCTAAACTCTGGACAATTATATGTTATATTTTCAGAGCCTGACCCATTCTCATAACACAAGATAAGTCACATAGTCTCTCTTAGGCTGGGGATGTCACACTGACTGGCCATTGAGTAATGCTTGGCCATGCACACAGCTCTTTCTGCAGGCAGAAAGTGCCATTGAAATTAAAGACTTAAAAGTAACAGTTAGCTGAACCTTGAGTGGTAGGGAATATGTGAAGAAAGTCCATTACTTCAGGGGGTTGTGTCTACCAAAGTTGCTTCAAGTCTGACCTTGAATCAGCAATAAACATCTGGGATTTGGTTGTTGTATATTCGTCTCCAGGGGCAATCAGTTTGCTTTGAATTTGTTCTGAAGTCTAAAATTAGCTGTCTTTGTGACTGAGAATACTATTACTTTCCTATGTCAGTCTGAATAATGAAAAATATCTTAGTATTATTTCTATTCATCAAAATTATATAGCTTAACCAGAAATCATCTTCCTGATCATCCACAGCTATATGTGTGCCCAAAAGATGGAATATATACATGAGTTAAAGATACAGGCAGTGGGAAAACACCCATAGTAGTTCTTAGGACAGAAATGAAGTGGCACATGAGAAGAATTACAGACACAGGCAACCGGTTTTCAGAGTCTGTGGTCCTGTAGGCCTTGCTTGACAGGATTATCTACATCAGAGAGCTATTCATCTGGTGGGTTGACACCTGAATTATCAATTGCCATATGCTGTATACTCCCATGGCCTCCAGCACTATATTTATAATTTAAAAAGGATATACTTTTAAGATCAGAAGATATATATCATTGAGACTTTAATGTAGTTTAAAATTGTAATGACTTTAGTCGTTAGTTATTTTTTCATTTTGTAAGGATTTGTACCTCGCTGTATCAGCTGAGAAGTTAGAGGTGAAGGATCAGTGAGCACATAGGGCTTTTGTTCCAACAAATCATCATCTCAAGGTCTTTCCAAGCATGACTCTCCTGCTGCACCTACATCCTGTTGTCAACTTTTAGAAATGTTTTTATTAATAATTTTAAGCATGTTGAAAATTCTCCAGTATATTTTGTAGTCAGTTCTTTGTTTGCACATTCTTCTCCCCCCAAAAAATCCATAGGCATTTTTAACAGTTATCTCAAACACACACACACACACACACACACACACACACACACACACTTTAAAAAAAGTACTTGGCACTATAATGTTATTTTAACTCAACTGTTTCTTAACTTGTGCCTAGCAAAACCTTAAGCTTTTCCTAATGTTTATTTTCATAGCCTTGAAGTATTTTCTAAATGACTGTGTTTTTCTTTACTAGTGGTAAAAGACTAAAGTTGAGATGGAACCTATTTTGTATAGTGCACACACTATTTTAGCTGCTGCTCCACTCTGCACATCGACCCCCTTTCCCCCGCACCTCTCTCCCATGCATATTTTCTTAAGGCTTGTGTATTCTAAAGTCACTTAAAAGAATGACATCTTAGACATCTTTTATTTCATGAAGCCTCTCTAGACCCTTCAGAGTGAAATATTTCTGTGTGCTTCCATGGAATGGTGTGTTTTCTTTTTCCACCAGTGACACTTATGTGATATTGTATCTAGGTGTTTTTATTAGACCATAAAAACAGGTCTCTCTGCTCACTTCATCATTTGATCTCCAGTGCCTATCCTAGCGCTAATAATGTATGATGAATAAGTAATGTTTAAATGAGTGAGCAGCAAACTTCATTAACGTAAAACATACTGTACCAGCACACAGGCATTTAGTTTCTTAAAAGAATTATGGATGTGAAAACATGCCTTGTTAACTTTGAAAAAAATGAAGCCCCCTACCATCTTCTCTCTTCTTTTAATTTTTCCTCTCTTTTAGATACCATCAATCTTACAGAACAAGTACAGTGGGTCAAAGTCAATACAAACATGACTGGCTATTACATTGTTCACTATGCTGATGATGACTGGGCAGCTCTAATCAGTCAGTTAAAGAGAGATCCTTATGTTTTGAGTGACAAAGACCGAGCCAACCTCATAAATAACATCTTTGAACTTGCAGGGTAAAGTATGCTTAATTTACATCATTATTGTCATTTTTAAAGATATTATTGCAGTAAAGAACAATTCAGAAAATAGTTTGAAATAACAAGTATATAGATTTAGAAAATGTAAGGCATGTTCATGGCTTTCAGAGATTTTATAATGTATTAGAAACATCAGCTATAAACACATTGAATAAATAATATAAAACAGGATCAACTACGAGTTCAAGAATAGATACCAACAAGCAGGATATATTTTATTCAGTAAAAATATTGTAGGAATTCAAGCTTCAAATTATTTCATGAGAGAATTATCTTCAAGAAGTAGTTGGATTCTGCCTAAAGCTAATTGCTAATCTATTGGTTGAATAGCATCTCTAGTGACTGGAGCATCCTTATATGTGTGTGGCTTGCTTCCCCAGCCACCTTGTACATTATAGAAGCCCAAAGCCAAGAATGGTAATAGTCTTTTGTAAAGGAATCTTTTGAATTAGTTTACAAATTTAGATTGATTCTAGGTCTAGAAACACAAAGAATACCCATCATTATTACTTTCTATTTTTGACACGTGTTTTAAATATGAAGTAGCCTTATGTCCTTTCAACCATTAGTGCTATAACTTCTACAAACTGCCTAGTGTGTTTGTTTGTTTGTTTGAGACAAAGATGTCATTGTGTAGCCTTGGCTGGCCTGGAACTGGCTATGTAGACCAGGTTGGCTTCAGTCTCACAGAGATCTACCTCTCTTCCTCTTGAGTGTTAGAATTAAAGGCATGCAGCACCCCACACAGCCTAACTGCTTAGATTTTAAAAGGTACTCACTGTAAACTCACTTTGGACCTTGTCTCAACAAATGTGGCAGACTGATTATAGCAAGAAATAAAATTTGTCTGTTTTCTGATTCAGATACTCTGAATCAGATACTGACTCTGAATCAGATACTGATTGAGATAGGGAGTATGCCACTCCCAATCATGTGGTAAATAGTAGTAATTAGTAAGTGAAATCAATAGTAGTCATCTTCTCCAAGACAGCATGATGCTTTTACTGAGTCAATGGCAAATAATAGATGACTTCTGGATCTAAAAGTGAGCTGTTGTATATCTTTATGTTAAAATACATCTTTACCTGTGAGCCACTTAAATATAATTACATGAGTCTAACTTTGCTTAATGTTACTGTAAACCTAAGTTTCTTGTCTGCAGCACTCACTGGCTCACTATAAAGTTTCCCTCCATGTACATAAGTTATGTGTGTCTCAGCAAATTTATATTCCCTATTCATTTATTCTTTAGCCTTGGCAAAGTGCCTCTTCGGATGGCATTTGATTTGATTGATTATCTTAGAAATGAGACCCACACTGCACCCATCACTGAAGCCCTGTTCCAGACGGGCCTCATCTATAACCTCTTGGAAAAACTAGGACACATGGACCTGGCCTCAAGATTGGTGGTAAGTCTTCCTTTTTTTATTTTTTCTTGTGGCCTACCTTTAATGCTGGTATTCACAATTCTATTCACCTCTTAACATGCTTTAAACAAACAAACAGTTATATTCCAGTTTCTTTATTTTGCTAGTTGTAAAAATCTCCACTCTGGATCAAAATGGCAACACTTACCATGAAGAGTTGGTGAAGCTTTTTTTTTTTTTTTTCCTTTTTAAATGCCCTACAGGCTTGCCTATAGCCAGATTTTTTTTTTTTTAAGATTTATTTATTTATTATGTACACAACATTCTGCCTCCATGTATGCCTGCATGCCCGAAGAGGGCACCAGATCTCATTATAGATGGTTGTGAGCTACCATGTAGTTGCTGGGAATTGACTCAGGACCTCTGGAAGAGCAGCTAGTGCTCTTAACCCCTGAGCCATCTCTGAACCCGGGTCCTCTGAAAGAGCAGCCAGTGCTCCTAACTCCTGAGCCATCTTTCCAGCTCTGACCCCTAGTTGGTAAAGCTTTTATGTGAAATAGCATTGTTTGAATATCAAAATTCAGACATTTGATGCTATCAAATGGAACCATCTTGAAGGAAAATGTCTCTGGGAATCCTCTTTTGTTTTTACACACAACATTAAAATAAGGTCTTTTAGAAAATAGATATCCTAGGGCTGGAGAGATGGCTCAGAGGTTAAGAGCACTGGCTGTTCTTCCAGAGGTCCTGAGTTCAATTCCCAGCAACCACATGGTGGCTCACAACCATCTAGAATGAGATCTGGTGCCCTCTTCTGGCTTGTAGACAAACATGCTGACAGAATACCATATACATAATAAATAAATAAATCTTTAAAAAAGAAAATAGATATCCTATTAATTTGCTAGTGGTCTTTATAAAATGCAGTATATTTGTACTGAAAATAACCTGCTTAAGAGTTGTTGCTGACTACTCTCCCATGAGTAATGATGCTGGTAAGTAGCAGTGACTGTACAAGCTCTTAAAGGAATCTTAGACTTAGTAATAGACTTCACCTTAAAACCAGTCTCCTAATCTTCAGCTGTTACTTTTGATACTTCAACAATAACTAAGGTAATATATTAGTTCCCTAGGATTGCCTTAATGTGTTACTACAAACTTGATGTACAGAAATAGTGGGAATTTAATTATTATGCCTCTGGAGGCCAGAAGTAAGGTGTTGGCAGGTAGAATGTCTTGTAAGGGATAATATACTGACTACCTGCTCTTCCCTTAACTTTCAGTGAGTGCTAGCAGTCCTTGGCATTCCTTGCTTAAATCCATGTCAATCCTCTCCTGTCTCTGTTGACAAGGCACTGTGCTATGTTTCTGTGCCCCAGTTTGCCAGTTGTCACAGATATACCACCCCTTAGGTTAGAGCCCGTAATAACACTGTATAGCTTCATTTTCACTTGGTTATATCTACAGAGACACTGTCCCCAATAATGTTATATGAATTGAGTGAAAGTACACTACTCAATGTGGTATCAGTAGTAGCAGACAAGACTAGTGCACCACATTCATTTTTACCACTCTTGAAGGACACTGATTTGAAGGGTTTGAAAAAATACCCTAAAGGGAGGCAGAATGTCTGCCTATTTTAAAGCTATCTGGCTAGTTAGTTTCATGGTAGCAGAAGCCCTTCTTCCATGCACCTTTTTCCATTCTATTTAAGATTAGTCTTGGGAAGCACTTGGTAATTATCTCAAGCTATCCTTTGTTGAAATTGCAAATTGGGTCTTTGGAATATTTTCTTGTTGGTGTTCAACTGACCTGTTTCATGTTGCATCTTCATCCTCTATGGTTTCAGGTGTTTGTTTGGAACATATTATAGAGTAGGATCCAGGGAACTGATGAGTAAAGGGCAAAGATGGGAGGCTTAGTGTCTCTTTCTAAGACTTGGACCCTGTTAATGCTATAACACCTTAAATTTATAGTTAAATACCAAGTTGGCTTTAGTTCATAACAGAGATAAACATTAAAATTCTTACTTATTCTTAGGGGATTTAGATAGCTTCAAAACTTTCAAACTGTGAAACCACTTTGTAGTTAGGAAGTGGGATAGCAGGCATTCCAAACCTTTGAGTTCAATATTTAAGTGTTTTAATCAAATGTCTGATTAATACTTATGTCATTATAACCAGAACACTATATATATATGTGTGTGTGTATATATATGTATGTATGTATATATATATATATATATATATATTTGTCATTTTGTTATGAAAGCTATATGTGATATATACAGTATTCTGTGGAATATACTGTGGTGTGGTGGGTAGGGTCTGGAGGTACATTTGAATTGTGTTAAATTGTTAACACCTGAAGTTGATGTCTGGTTTTAGCCATATTCCTGTTTTATAACTTACAAATCTGCCGTTCTCTTACATATGAACCATTGGTGGGATAAACCTTGGTAATAAAACTGACAGTTCACTTTTAAAAACCTTGTTAACTTAGGAAAGAACCTCCCTGAGTGTATTGATGTAAAATTAAAGCAGTAAATCAAAATGTAATATATACCAAGTGTCAGCATCTTTTCCTGTTTTATTCTTAAAATAATTTCGTTTCTGTTGTTGTGTCTTATTGCATATACAGTGTTGGTAGCTTATGTGACACATCTCTTTATTCCCTTCCTCTTCTTGCCATTTTTTATGAAATTAGTGTTAGGTCATGTTGTTTGATTACTTTAACTTCAAAAGGTTAATTTAGAAACCATATGAAAAGTATATTTCATTTTATAAGAGAAAAAGGCAACTTGAGGCACCTGCTATGCTCTTATTAATATAAATAATATTGAAAACATAACCTGAATCACTTATTTAAATAGTCACATTTAAAACAGCAGGATTTTTATGAAAATAGAATTATGTTAGTAAAATATCATATTTTCAAATATGCTTAAAATATTTTGGGAATCTCTCTTAATCATTTGGTTAAAGGAGGCTAACAGAATCATGCTCTCTGATTGTGAGAGGGTGTGAGTGCTGAGAGCTTAGTCTAAGCATATTCAAGTGTCAGCTTTCTCTGCCCCAGTGCTTCAGAGTGCCGTTTCTACTTGTGTTGCTGTCTCTCCACTGAGGTTTTTGAAGATAGGATTCTAAGCTGTAACTTTCCCACACATTATTTCCTTACTACTGATTATAAGGACCTTTAAATGTTCTTTGATTCTCAATTCATTTGGGACAGAAGCAGCAGGCTTAGGGCCTGTGTCTACAGTCAGGGATAGTGCTGTCTTTATGTTATTGAATGGGTCAGTCAGTTGAAGATAGCAGGTACCAATACAGTCTCATGAGCCAATAGGAAGGTCCTGCATTGACAGCCAGCATGTCAAGTGTCTTCTGGTTCCATGCTCTCCCAGTAGCTCTCAAGCTCTACTATCTCAAACATGCCACAAGGCTTCTAGTCTCTATTTCATTGTCTTCAAACAAAGACAAGTTGATGTGTTATCACAAGCTTTGAGAATTTCTTGTACCATTTCTTCTTGGCTTTAAGATAGACAGTGTTCTTCAAGAAGTGCATAATTTTTTGAAAGAACTTAAGCTGAATTTTGGGGATTAAATGGTTTTTTCATAACTCATCTGTGATACTCTATTATTGGGATGAGGTAGTGTCTAACTAAGGGTTTCTTGTTGTTATGATGAAACACAACCAAAAGCAACTTGGGAGAAAGTGTTTTTTGCTTACACTTCCAGGTAATAGGCCATCATTGAGGAAAATCAGAAACTCAGATAGTTCAGGCACCTGGAGGCAGGAGCTAATGCAGAGGCCATGTAGTGCCGCTTATTGGCTTGCTTCTCATGGCTTGTTCAGCCTGTTTTCTTATAGCACCCAGAACCAACCAGCCACCCACAATGGGGTGAGCTCTCACCACTAATTAAGAAAATGCCCTACTACAGCCAGATCTTATGGGGACAGTTTCTCAGGTTCTATTCTCTCAGATGACTATAGTTTATGTCAAGTTGACATAAAAGTTGCCAGCACAGGTAGGATGGTGATCGTGATAGTAAAGAACTCGCTGGTGCTGAGATACTGAGTAAAACGGACATCTGTTGTTTTTTTAAAAAATATTTATATGAACTAAGAATTTTATATGAGAGTTTTAACTCTCTAGGATTTTCTTGGTACATATTTCTTACAGTATTGTTACCTTATGTATCTTCTCCCTCTGTGGTACACAATAACTTGTAACATGGAAGGACTTCCACATACTGAATAGCTTTTATGCTTCAGAGGAAAGAGATGAAAAGGGGGGTTGCTGATTCCATGATACACATATATTTCACAACGGCTTCTCATTCAGAAGTAACTGTAACAATAAGTTGATTAGAATAGCAGATGATGTTGAATAATTGTCCATAGGGTATTTTGATCACATGTAAACTAAGTATATATAAATGAAATTTCATGGTATTTATAATTTACAAACAATTCAACTGAAATGAAAAAGGTATATACATATTATGTATGCAAAAATGAAGAATTAGAAACTGATAAATCTAGATGAATAACATTTGGATGTGCACTCTATTTTTGCATTTTTCTATAGCTTTGACTTTTTTTTTTTTTTTTTTTTTTTTTGGTTTTTCGAGACAGGGTTTCTCTGCGTAGCTTTGCGCCTTTCCTGGAGCTCACTTGGTAGCCCAGGCTGGCCTCGAACTCACAGAGATCCGCCTGGCTCTGCCTCCCAAGTGCTGGGATTAAAGGCGTGCGCCACCACCACCCGGCAGCTTTGACATTTTTACATTAAAAATGGGAATATAGATTATACTATACCCTAGAGACCTCATTTTCTTTTAAATTTTGGTAAGTAATTTTCTATGACCTCAAGTGGTATGTTAAATACACTTTTTTTTGTTTGTTTGTTTGTTTTTCGAGACAGGTTTCTCTGGGTAGCTTTGCACCTTTCCTAGAACTCACTTGGTAGCCCAGGCAGGCCTCAAACTCACAGAGATCCACCTGGCTCTGCCTTCTGAGTGCTGGGATTAAAGGTGTACGCCACCACCGCCCGGCCTAAATACACTTTTAATAATGGATTTGAAACTATTTAAACATTAAATCATTAGTAAAGAAATGTATTTTAGCAGAACATGGTGACATATTCTTGTAATCTCAGCAAGAGAATTGTGCATTCAAGTCCACCTTGGGCTATATAGTTAGATTGGGGGTGGAGGGGAAGCCAATAAGTAGTAATAGTGGTGTATTCTTTCTTTTCTTTATGGATTTGCCAATTCAAAAGTCATCAGGTAAAGAATTTCCAGCAGTTATGGATGGTATTTTAGGCAGGAAGGTAGCTTTTAGCCAAGTACACACACAAAAAAGGTTCTCTGTAGTGAAGACACCGTCAACTCTTCCTGAGTTGAGTTGTAGCATTATAAGTCCTACTTGTCTGTAGCTTTATTTTTGGGTAGTTTTATATCAGCTAAATGTGTGCTTTATGTGTCAGTTAATAGTTAATAAGTAATATTTTATAATTTTTCCTTATTGGGTAAATCTTGTAGAAAAGATATGTAGTTGTACTGATTTCCTGATTGATTGATTGAATTATTATTAATACCATTATAATTATATTTAATCTCTGTAGACCCGAGTATATAAATTGCTCCAGAACCAAATCCAGCAGCAGACTTGGACTGATGAGGGAACGCCATCCATGCGAGAGCTTCGGTCAGCCTTGCTGGAATTTGCCTGTGCCCACAGACTAGAGAACTGTACCACTGTGGCCACACAGCTTTTTGACAATTGGATGTCATCAAATGGAACTCAGAGGTGAAGTGCACATCTACTCGAATGGGTCTTCCCATTCATTATTTCTTAAAAAAGGGAGGAATGATAGTCCACTGTATGCACATGCCATATTTAATACATTTTTCTCATGAAATTTGAATTGCTTCTACTTCTTGACATTGTAAATATTACTGCTGTGAATTTGAGCATACAATTATCTTTTGCAAATCTGATTTAAATTCTTTTGGTATATATCCAAAAGTGGTATTGCTGGATCATAGAAAATTTATCATTTGTTTTGTTTTACCATATGCATATATATGTGTTTGTGTGAGTACCCATGTGTAGGGAGGCCAGAAAACAATCTCCAGTGTCAAATGCTCAGAAACGCTGTTTTTTGAGATAGTGGCTTCCATTGGCCTGGAGCCCACTGAATAATCTAGATTGGCTGGCTAGAGAGCCCCTGGATCTGCCTGTTTCTGTCTCCTGAATGTTGGGATTTCAAGTATATACTAACCCTTTGGCTTTGTTATGTGGGTTCTAGAGATCAGACTCAAGTATTTAATTGCTTGCTTGGCAAGCACTGTATTGATTGAACTATTATCCCTAGCATTCCATTTTTAATATTTAAGGACTTTCATGATATCATGTTTCCCTTAGTAATTGTGAGATTTTATGTTTCCACCAACAGAGTATAAACATTCCAGTTTTTTTACAACCTTGCTAACACGTTTTCTGGTTTTGTTTGGTGGGTTTGGTTTTGAGATGGGGTCTCACTGTGTAGCCCTGGTTGGCCTACCTCTGCTTCCTGAGTACTGACATTAAAATGAGCACTTCCATATATGGCTTAGTGTTTTGCTTTGTTTTGTTTGTATTTAAAACTTTTCCCCCCTGTGGTGCTGAGGATCTAACTCATGGTCTAACACTTGCTAGACAAATGCTCTATCACTGATCTGTACCCACCTGTCTCCATCTCCCCAGCACTGGAATCACAAGTACATGCCCCATACCCAGTTCTATTATACACTTGGGTGCTAGTTACTGAGCTCAGGTTCTCTTGCTTGTGTGGCAAGTACTTTAAATGATGGAGCTATCTCCACAACCCCAATTTTCTGAGGTTTTGATAACAGATATTTCTCAGAGTATGATAGATGTCTCCTTTAATTTAGAAGTGAAATGACTGGTGGGGTGATCAGTTAGGAGAAATGCTCTGGAATGTGATTAATTCTTTCCAGGTTCCTTATTGAAAATTTTGGAGCAGTGATTAAAATATCATTTGGAAAGTTGAGACAGGGAATTTGAATAAGGTTCTGAAATCTTTCCTATCTCTGAGATCTTAGTAAAAGCAGTTGGCTATGTTTCATCCCTTTCTTAGACCCTGCCTCCAAACATGCATTTACTGTTTTATTTATACCATGAAGCTTAGCACACTGTATTATAATGCATATAGTTATTGTGTATACTTTGGGATAGCCCATGAACTCCTACAGAGAAAGAGGTGTGTCTCATTCCTTCCTCTATCCCTCCCCGGTATGCAAGCATGTGTCTTCTCAGTAAATAATTATTATTTTAAATTCAACTTATGTTCTTTAAAGTCATAACTGTAGGAAAGTAGCAATCATTAAATTAACTTCTTATTTCTCTAAACTGTATGAAGATTTACAATTATTATTTAACCTGAACCTAGAAACACAACCAGTCAACTCCTTGCCTTTGTAATCAGATGTTTCTCCTTGTTATTCTCATGTTTCACTATCTCTTTTGTAGCCTGCCTACTGATGTCATGATCACTGTGTTCAAAGTTGGAGCAAGAACCGAGAAAGGCTGGTCATTCCTCTTAAGCATGTATTCATCCATGGACTGTGAAGCAGAAAAGAATAAAATACTTGAAGCTCTTGCCAGCTCAGAGGATGTGCAGAAACTTTACTGGTATGGAACCATTCAAAGGACATGATACAAAGAAACCAAAATAAAAGCACATTGCTCTTTAGGACAGGAGCCCATTTTCTCTTGAGTTCTCACTTCTTCTTTGACCTGACTTGGACAGAGTTGTGAGGAGTTTGCATGAACTAGACTTCATCTTGGTGAAAGAACCTTAACAGATGGTGCAGAATACACTTTGTTTAAGAGACTTGGAGATATTAATACCCATAACCTTATCTGTGTCCTGCTGGGAAATGTTGTCCTCCCTTGGCATGATGTGCTAAACATGCTGGTACTATATATTAATCTGTTCATGCTGTCACTTTGAGAATGTAAACACTTCAGAAAAAGAGAACTATAGAAGTATATATATTCTATCTTCCCATGAATTTATTGCTCATAGTTCTTCTTAATGTCTAACTATCTAGCCTAGAAATAGGAGCTTCATGTGGGTAAAAGAAAGACAGTAAGAACTGGCAGAGAGAACAGGAAGAGGCAGAGTTAAAGGCCATATCCAAAGGGAATTTAAAGGTACATGCACTTTAGGACATAGACACTGAAAGCCATACCAGGGATAGAGGGAACATCTTAGCTTCATTGCTTCTCTTACATAAGTTCATTCAGCTAAATCCTAACAGTGTCCCAGAAACATCCCTGACCCCTGCCTAGACCTACTTTTTAAATTATATTCTGTAAATAAGCATTATCTTTAAAGCAAAGGCTAGCCTCTGACCTATAAACTCCCATTATAAATATACAGACAGCACCTGAGCATAGAGAGTAAAATGAAAATATTTCTTAGGCCTCTTCACTTTGTACTATTTTTCTTTGTCTTTTAGTAGTATCAGCTAAATCTCTGTGTTTACATGCAGAAATATATTCAGGCTAAGTATTCCTGACCTGAAAAACCAGAAAATGTACTAGTTTCCAAAATTGTAGTAAGTTGCAGAAGTTTTTCTTGATATATCATAAGTCATTATGTAATAACATGAATATGTGTATCATGATGAGTCAAATAATTGACAGGTTTTAACTTGTGTACTAATCTTAGCCTAATCCAACCTGATTTATCTTGAATTAATAGAGTTTATATTGGAACCCAGTGCCAATACTAGTTTGGTCATCACTTCAAAAACAATTATTTTGAAGGCTAAATCTGTTTTCTTCTTCAGGTTAATGAAAAGTAGCCTTGATGGTGATATCATCCGAACACAGAAGTTGTCGCTTATCATCAGAACAGTGGGCAGACACTTTCCTGGACACTTGCTGGCATGGGATTTTGTTAAAGAAAACTGGAATAAGCTTGTACATAAGTAAGTTTCCTGGAGAATGACTGAATCTCATATCCTCAGGCAGTGCATTTGCAAAAGGCTCCCTGGGTAATGATTTGTCCTAAGTGCGGGAGCACCTTTTTTTTTTTTTTTTTTTTTTTTTAAAGAATCAAATCTTTTTAAAAATTTATTTATTTTTATTTTATGTGCATTGGTGTTTTGCCTGCATATATGTCTGTGTGAGGAGTGTCAGAACTTGGAGTTATAGACAGTTATGAGCTACCATGTGGTTGCTGGGAATTGAACCCAGGTCCTCTGGAAGAGCAGTCAGTGCTCTTAACCATCTCTCCAGCCCTAGGGAAACACTTGTTTGTTTGTTTGTTTGTTTGTTTGTTTGTTTGTTTGTTTGTTTGTTTTTCGAGACAGGGTTTCTCTGTGTAGTTTTGGTGCCCATCCTAGATCTCATTCTGTAGACCAGGCTGGCCTCAAACTCACTCCCCGGTGCTGGGATTAAAGGAGTGTGCCACCACCGCCTGGCGGGAAACACTTCTTAAGCAGCATTGCACTTATTATATTTAAAAGCATTGCACTTGCACTTAGCTATGGTGTCTATTTAAACACTGATCAAGGCCAGGTACACCTGATAAGTTAGGCATCCTAGCATAGCCATGGACTATTTCAGAATAGTTGCTTAGTTATATGTGTTAGAAGTATTTCTTGGGGCTGGAGAGATGGCTCAGAGGTTAAGAGCACTGACTGCTCTTCCAGAGGTCCTGAGTTCAATTCCCAACAACCACATGGTGGCTCACAACCATCTATAACGAGATCTGGTGCCCTCTTCTGGCCTGAAGTCATGCATGCTGTATACACAATAAATAAATAAATCTTAAAAAAAAAAAAAAAAAAAAGTATTTCTTGATTGCTAAATTATCAGTTAAGGAATCACAGTCAGCTAGGGAGCACATGTAGGTGTTTTCTTCTTCTCTTAAACCAATAATGATTTTTCTGGGTATAGATGATTTTTGAGAACCAGATTAAAATTCTTTCTGAATACCCCTAGACCTCACCTCCTTTCCTGCCCAGTGACAATAAGTATGTAAAGATGCCCCAACTTCTAGGCTGCATTTCCAAGAGGAAAACCCCACTCTGTCTTTATGTTAAAGCATTTCCTTCATGCTCTAGAACGGTGCTTTGGTTGTCAGCAGCTGCTTCATTTTTTTCTCTTAATATTTGTGTTTCTTCAGGTTCCATCTGGGCTCTTATACTATACAAAGTATTGTTGCTGGATCAACTCACTTGTTTTCAACGAAGGCACATTTGTCTGAGGTTGGTTTACAAAACGTTAGCAGAGAAACTGCATGCCTCTCCCCTGAGGCTGCTCTGTTTAAGTGCAATGGAGTCTCTTCATGCTAATTTCAGTCCGTTCTGTCTTTTTTCATCAATGTTAATGGTTCTGCATGGAGATTATTGTTGAACAATTGCATATATAGCCAGGAGCTGAAGTTCTGGTGCCATTCTCAGCTCTGTTTGCTGTCTCATCAATACAAATAGTTTAAGCTGTAATGAAATTATTTTGAGGAATTCCATTCAAAATGTGAATTTATTTATTAAGCCTAATTTTAGATTGATTCATTTTTCTTCAGAGTTCTTTTTTTTTCTATTTTAAGAAATAATAAGGAAAGAAGAAAGTTTGAAGTGAAGAAAAGTTTGGTTTTGTTTTTAAAATCACTTCAGTGTGATATTATCACACTTGATTGATGCAAATACTTTGGCTGTCAAAGTATAGGTCTGCTATTTCCAAGGTGTCAGACCTTGGAACCACCATCACAGGGTTAAAACTTATTTCAGAAGGCTGATCAGGGAGCCTTAACCTTTCCTTGTTTAAAATGCTTCTCTGTGGAACTTGCAGGTCCAGGCATTCTTTGAAAATCAGTCAGAGGCAACCTTGCAGCTTCGGTGTGTCCAAGAGGCTTTGGAAGTTATTCAGCTGAATATCCAGTGGATGTCGAGGAATCTAAAAACTCTGACCTTGTGGCTGTAGCACTCACAGCTGACCTTCCGGTGCCCACGGCTCTGCTGCTTTTGCAAAAGTTGAAGTGAAGGCAGGCCTGCTACTGAATTGTTTGCACTGTTAGGAATTCTAGTTAGCTCAGGGCCCAATTATGTTTTTCATGTCTTTTCTGAAATGTCTTTAGGCAGTAAGTAGTTATTTATTACAAAATTATATTCACCTGTATACCAACCATCTACAAAAACAATGCATAATTTTTCTTTAGACACACACAAAAAAGTCATATTTGAAATTCTGTTCTGTTCATTAGTGTCCAGAGAGTTGCTAACATAGTGCAACCAAGGAAAGTCTGCTGTAAGAACCATCATATCTGAGGGTTGCTGATTGGCCAGTTGTTTGTTGCTCCTTGTTGACAGATGCACTTGGAGTGTGATAGCATGGAAGAGTCCAGTGACAAAGGCCTGGAAGATGCAGCTATGGACAGCTGACCTCAGGTGGGCAGGTCTGCCCTGATTGAGGGTTCTTTAAAAGGTTTATATCTTTATTATAATTTTCCCTGCAGAATAATCAGGATCTAAAGAGTTTTTCTTGTTTCTGTTGAACAGATGAACAAACAGGCCTCAAATTTCAGTTTTCCAAATATTTAACACTTTCTGCTTCATCTTTATTCTGAATTGAGTTAATGTTAATTATTTTATCCATGAATTCCAGTACCCCCCAACTCTATACACTTGGTTAGTCCTGCTTAGGTAGATTTTCTGCTGTATAGGAGTATTTCTTTGCTTTGGCAAGCTTTCTGTTAAGCACTGGTATTTTTGTCATTACTTTCCCACCAAGAATGTAATTTGTTTAAGTTGCCTTTTGACCTAACAAATCATACCCTTTACTGTGTGAATCGTACCCATGTGTGTGCTTTTGCTTTATGTTACAGTGTGTATTAGAAGCATTTCTCAAGAAATTAAAGCTTTTTATTTTGAAGTTCACCATAGTACCTTAAAGGGACAATGAGAATGTGGAAAAGGAATAAGTTGAAAATATGGTGGACTATGAATTCTTTTTTCACTGTTAAAAACAGTGCTTTTGTTTAGTTGAAAAAAAAAACTGTAGCTTTGTTTTATTTTATTATGGTCAAACTAACATTAAACAGAGCGGCCAAGGCTCAAGCAAAGGAAAAGGGAGGGAGGGTATCCAGAGCAGAATGCGGGCGTTTTCACTCCTTCTGAAGGAGAAATACTGTACTTGAATTTTTTTGAGCTATGCAGACTTATTCCTAGATTGTTGTGTTTCTTTGATTCTTAGGAGAGAAGTTTTCTTCTTAATAACTCATGAGAATTCTATATTTTGTTTGAAAACGGTCCGTGTACATAAAAAAGAATTACTCATTTGTGAACACTGAAATCACTCCACAGAGTCAGACCATAGAAAGGCCACTTTTTTTTTTGGCTGTTGTAAAGTTAGAATATGTGGAGCTGTATACAAAGTTATAGTTTATTTTATGAAAATATTTTTATATAACAAAATTTTAATGGCTGACAAGCTGAAAATAGCCTGCTTTAAATCTAATGTTTGCTCCCAATTTAGTCTTTTCTAAACATTTTTGTGTTTTTGAGTAGAAAATGTTATTCCTGAGAATCACAGAATCATCTTGATATCTTTGTGAAATAGTTAATTGTAGATCTTTATTTCCTTTGTGCTTTTGGTAAATGAATGATAGTTTAGTTGATACTGAAGGTTGTGGGGGTTGTATTTTTAGAGTGAAGGGAAAATACTCTGGTGGGTTTTAGTTGCCTTTTTTTTTCTTTTACCATGTTGTATTACTAAATTCTACTTTGATACAGAATTTAACTTTTGCTACTTCTCAAGATCAGTTCAATCTTGAGATTTATCTGCCCATCTTGGCATTGATCCTAAAGTCTATGTAACTCTGCATATGGCAAATCTTGTCTTAACACTTTTTTTCCATGTATGAGTGTGAATGTATGTGGTGTGTGATGTTGTAAAATAAAGCCTTTTGAGGATATGTGCTTTAAAAAAGGTAATTCTTGATTCACTTCTATCAGAAGCTGTTCATTCCCAGGATTCTGGAGCCATAATATTTTCAGTCTTACCTATAATCTTCATCTCAATAGTTTTTAACTTTGATAGGCCTCCTCTTAATTTCCCCACAAAATCCTGTGAGTTTTCATGTTTTGTTAGCCCATTATGTGCAGACTCTTATAGCTAACTCAAAGTCAAGAATATAAAGCTGAGAGGAGAGGTAGCATTTATAGTCTGATAGTATATTGGTAGCGTTCAGATTTTCCTCCTCTGAAATTTACATTGCAATCTGTACTTCTAGGAAGGAAAATTGAGGCACGGGCCAGCTTGTGCTCTAGGTATAAGCACACAGATATCCGACATCATTGGGTAGTGATTGAATGAACATTCTGCTCAACACAGAGAAAGGGTATACTTGAATATAATGTGAAAGATACATCTTGATTATTAGGAAAAATTGAATTGGAAATCTAGATTTGTGGGGAAAAAATTGATTTGGAGATCTGAAAGTTAGGAATTGGAGGAGATAAGTTTACTCTGTTAATATGGAGTTAGCTATAATAAAAAGTAGTGGCAGTTTCTCCCCAGAAACTTGTGCCTTCTGTCTCATTTTGTCTTTAAAAATGAAATTGTGTTTGTCAGTGTTCAGTGTTTACAAACTTTCTTGCTATCACAGGTTCTGCTTAACTGGTTTTCTTTGCCACATGTGTTTTCATTTTATGAGACTTTAGCCACCATTAGAACAAAAGCTTCCAGAAGAGTCCTGGGTATAAAAAACAAATCCAGCTGCATCAGGTTTACTGGGTACCAAACAATTCTTTCTTATTATTGGGAAGCAAGAAATTAACATTAACTCTTGTATTTGTTGCATGATTGATAGCCTGTTGTTGAATTGGATTTTAAAGGTGCTTACTTAATCTAAAGCACCTGGAATGGTAATCTTCAGCCAGACTGCTGAGCACTTATATAAGACCGTGTGTTTGAGGGTTTCAGGGATGGCACAGTACCTCTCAGGTGCACTGTTGCTGAGGACTGCAGTCCCAGGTTGAGTTCACAGATAAGAGTGGGTTGGTTTATATTGGCCTCTTAAGAATTGGGGTCATAGGTGTAATGTAGTCCCCCCCACCCTTGCCTTACTTTTATTTATACAGAATGAATGCTCTGCTTTGGGAATGTTCTGTCTTTTTTCATTTATAGTTCTTGAAACTGGTTTTGTGTTCTTTTATTTTGTTCTTAAATCTCTGAAATATCAAAGAAGTACAAAGTGAAAAATGGAGGTCTCAAAAAAATGACAAATCTAGCCGGGCGGTGGTGGCGCACGCCTTTAATCCCAGCACTCGGGAGGCAGAGCCAGGTGGATCTCTGTGAGTTCGAGGCCAGCCTGGGCTACCAAGTGAGTTCCAGGAAAGGCGCAAAGCTACACAGAGAAACCCTGTCTCAAAAAACCAAAAAAAAAAATGACAAATCTACTCTTTTCCCCATCCCTTACTGCCTGGTTGGGCAATAATTAGCAGAGTAAGTGCTTGATTTTTAGAGAGTTTGTGGGAGCTTGGAGGGGGGGGGGAGTGATATATACTTTTGAAACATACACATGTATTTTTATGTTTTTATTTTACAAATTTTGTCCTGGTAAAGAGTGAAATACTGCTCTCTGATAATCTCTCCTCTTCCCATGTTGCCTACTCTAGGTAACAGCTATAGAGTAATTTGGTTTTAATTTTTGAAAGGATGTGGTGGGTTTCAAAAAGGAGCAAGGTAACTTCTTTTAAAAGTGTGTAGAAGGAGCAAGGTAACTTCTTTTAAAAGTGTGTAGAAATAATTTTGCTGTTATTTGGGACTTAATGCTGCCCTCCTTACATTCTTGTGGACATAACCATACAAGTCCACATGGATGCATTGGCAATAACAGAATAGTAATAGTGCCTACTGTTTTGTTCTAGTCTTAGGAACTTAGGCTCCCTCTCATCCTTTCAAGCACATTTATAAATGCAATTCTACTTTTTATATATTTCGCTTAGACTTGTTTCTTTGCATAGATAACTTAATTACCATTATGACTGAGTATGACAGAGTTTTCCCTTTTCCTTGTTCCCTTTAAGGCAATAATTAATTGTTCTGTTAGGGAGAGTTTGGAAGAGAGTACTTGACATGACTTTTTATTACTAATTTTGTTTGGTCCTATGCCCTTGAAATGCATGTGAAAATACTTGATGAAATGTGGAAGACCAAATGTAAACAGTCACATTTTATCACCTCTTATTGCTTGTTGGCAATAGCCAATAGAATGCGTATGAGTGGAGTGTGGGGGTGCAGGGATGTGTACCTAATGCCTGTATGTATGTCCTTACTACTGTATTGTATTAATTCACTGGATGCTCAGAGTGGAAGGTACCAGTGGAGTTCAGATGTATAACAGTGCCTCTTTTCCTTTCTTTTATTGTCTGGGGTGCAATACTTGTCAAAGTAGTGTGAGTTTTTTGAAAGTTGGATTTGGGTTTTGGGTGGTGATTGTTTGGTTGGTTGGTTTTTGCTAATCTGGAAAAGTAGTTTTGGGGTAAAAGTATATACTTTTTAAGTGTATAAACATGCTTTGCTGCATTTTACTTCCTTGCTTTGCCTGTCCTTTCCATGGATTTACGAGGAAAGTTGGGGATCCCTCTAAGAGGTTTCTTCCTTCCCTTACATTGGACATGCAGTGAGTGTCAAGTAGCACAGGCAGCTGTGGAGGTGGGGCTGACGTACGCCTTCACTCTGCTTTTGATATGTGCTTTTGTTCATTGGTCACTGCATTCCATTGGGTAACTGTCTTGAACTTGGACTTACCAGTTTCTAACAAACCATGGAGCTTTGAATTTAGTGTCCTAGTGTTCTTACCCATTGATGTGGGAAGAATTTTCTTTTCATTTCTTCTCTTAGCTTTAGGGGGGACTAAGGGCAGGAGATATACTCTTACAAATGTATATAATTTTGTTACTATACTGTGTTATTTCATTTGGTACTAAGTCCTTTACATGGGCGTATAAGTGCCTAATGAGACGTGGAGGTCCGGATGTATGAAAACTTCCTCTTTCCCCTTTCCTCACTGCCTCTGTGGGCAATTGTTGTAGAGTAGCATAGATTTTCTAACTCGGTTCCACCCAGAGGGGTGGGTATGTATATACTTTAAAATGTAAATATAAATTTTTTAATCTTTTTGTTGTTGTTACTTCATTTGTACCTAAATCTGTCTGTGGACACTTAGGTACATAAGGAATATTGAGGTTCATTCTATGAAAAATCTCCCCATCCCTTTCCCTCATTGCCTGTCTGGGCAATCGCTTATAGAGTAGTTGTGTAGTTTTGGCATGGGAGTATGGGGTGAAAGAGTTCTGGGTTTTTACTTTTTTAAATGTATTTAAAAGTTTGTCAGTTATTTCATTATTTCACTCCCAATCAGCTTTTGTGTTTGAGCTTACTGTCAAAGGAAGTGAGAATCTATACCCAGAGGCATGGAACATCTTTGCTTCACTCTATCACCTGTGCCAGACTGTAGTAGTATATGAGTAATGTGAGGCTTGGGTTCTTGTTTTGTCTGTTCGTTGCTTATAACACAGCTTGTTAGAGAAAAAGGTAACCATGTATGTATGTGTATGTGTGTGCATACACACACACACACACACACACACACACACACACACACACACATATATATATATATATGCCTTGTGATGTTAACTTCATTTTGAACCTGGTCCTTGGCGTGACTGTTTTTTTAAATATGTATTTAATGAACATTGAGATTGATTCTATGAAAATTCTCCACACTCCCTTATCCCTCATTGCCTGGTGGGCAGTGGTAGACTAGATGTTTTGTTTACTTATCTTTCATTGCTTTGTGGGGGGGCGTCTGGGTGTACATATATTTTTGATGTATATAAATAATTGCTACATTCTATATGTTATTCCACATAGCACCAGTTCTTTGCTGGGATTTGTAGATATATAATGAAACATGGAGGTCCAGACGTATGATAACTCTCCCCTGCTCCCTTTCCTCATTGCCTATAGAGGCAATAATTTTATAACAGGGTTTTTTTTTTTTTCTAGTGGAGGGGAGGGGAAACTGCTTAGATAGGTAGTAGCTAGATAGAGTGCATGCTTTTAAAATATATTTTTTCATGGTACTGATTAGACTCCTAGTCCTTTGCATGGATAAATGGGTACCTAATCAAAATTGAGGATTGGTGTATGACATACCTCCCATTCTCCCCTTCTCCTTATGCCTGTATTGGCAACAGTGAGTAAAGCAGTTGTGTGTTTTTTACTTAATTGCTTTGGATTTATATTTTTGATAGAAGACTATCCTTAGTATAAATAGTTTTGGTTTTTTTATTTCATTTTGTGTTTAGTTCTTTGCCTAACTATAAAGGGCATAATGAAAATTAGTTTTGTAATATGATAGAGCGCATCCTTTCTTGCATATGTCATCATTCAGCAGTAACTAGTGCAGTTGTTTTGTGTTTTTTTTTTTATTCTGGTTATTCTCTAGGATATATCTTTAAGGATACAAATATATACACATACATATTCAATTTTTTCCCTTGCTGTCATTGTTTCACTTTAAAATTTATTGCTTTGAAGATTTCTACATGCACCTAGGAAAAAAACAAAAGCTCATTACATCTTGGGCACCTGACTGGAAGTGTAGCCCTGTGACTCCATGTCGAAAAGTGGCAGTGAGTATGCAGCAAATACTATGGGAGAAGACACTCAGATATGGCTGCATTGTGGAAACTAATCAGACCCAGCAATTCTAATGTTTCAAACTGAGATGGTGAAAGAACTTCAGGGGCTAGCCTTTTCTATCTTAGAACATCCACAGATGGCAGGGCAAATTGGCCCCTTCTTACCCAGAACTCTTTTGTGTGGCTGCATCTCTTTCTCCAGTTCTCTATTAACCGAACCATTCCTGTTCTGTTTTTCCTTTTGCCTCCAGCGCCTTCATTGTTGTTAGATGCTGTCTTAAGTTGTACTCACAAATTTAAGCTAATACTGCATCCTAGTCGACTTTGATTCTGTGTGCATCTCATGCACCCGAGCCTGTATGTCTGCTCTAGGCGTTCTTATATTCCACCACATGGTAAATGTTATGACTACATATTTGTCTGCATCAAAGAAAATGCATGTGCATACCTTCCCTGTCCTTCCTGCATCTTAGTTTTGTTTTGTTTGTACATTTTTTTAAGTTGATATTCCATGAGGAAGATTTGCCATATCCTTTTAAGAAACACTGAGTGATAGATAGGACTCCTAGAAATTCTCAAAGAAGTGTTATTTACCGTATCAAACTCAGGAATGTGTTGGAAAATTAGTCTAGTAACATTGCTGTTACTTATACCTGCTGCTGTAGGAAAAGTTATTCATGACACATTTACCTTTGATCATAAATAAAAGAGAAAGGGCCACCTTTTTGGAGTTAGTCATGGTAGTCATTAGTTATATTTTTGAACCGTTTTTAATTTGAAATACTTCAAAGGAAGTAAAGGTCATGGCTTAGCTCAAAGAAATGCTCCAGAAGTTCGGCTGTATAAATCATCAGTACAATAATACATTCTGTGTGTGTGTTTGTGTGTGTGTGTGTGTGTGTGTGTGTGTGTGTGTGTGTGTGTGTGTGAAATGAGAATTGCTACATAATTGGAGCATTTGCCTTCATCAGCAAATCACATTGAGACAAACTATAGTCGGCTGTCTTGATTAAAGCCAAGTGTTTCTTGTGGCTGTGAGGAAGAGTCTCTTGCAAAGTTACTTTGGAAAGTAACTGCTTGGAAACTTACAAAGGTATTACTTTTTTTTTTTAAACACCAGTAGAAACCTTCAGTTCCTTCAGTCTGAGTTCGTGGGTAGAATTCTAAATTTATATCCTAATCTGTCTTTTGTGGAAAATTTTGAAAATAGTATGTATGTGTAATATTGTATATGCAAATTGTGTTGTTCTACTTGTAAAGGGAAAATGCTTATTTTTCTTTGTACTTGTTTTGCATATGACCAGCACTGATTGAAAGGCATGTTTAACTGCAAACACTTGCTTTCTTTGTGAAATGAAAATAAAGTATTTAAATATAAACACTGTGGATTCATCTAATTAGACAGAATATATGTTGTATTTCATCCCAGATTCTGAGTTCCATCAGAGCTGTTGCCATATACATTAATTTATCTAATTTGCTTCCTACCTTACCCGAGGTCCTTAACACAAAACCCACACTGTCGATATTTTGGTCTGGGTAATTATTTGCTTTGAGAGACTGTTGTGCACAGCATTGAGTTTTCAACATCCACCCTGACTACTGATGTCAGTAGCATCTACAGATAATCAGCTGCCTATAGCAATCCTCATTCCTCTGGCCCTTGTGAGAACCAAAAAAAAAATTTATTTATTTTTTGTTTTACTATAGATTTATTTACACTTTGGTCTCTGACCATGTGCATACAATAATACAGAACAATTACATTTAAAGTTAAAATAATTTTCATTTACTGATATTATTCTAAGCAACTTGAGATGATAAAAAAAACATATATTTCCAATGTGCTTGAACTCAATTCATCTGACATAAGAAAAGCAATTGGCTTCCTGTGGCCATTGTCCTTAGTTGAACCAAAAATATTTACTTCATATATAGACAAATGTCCCCTGCATTTGCAGTTAAAACTGTATGTGGATGCTTGGGACAATGGGCTCAGTAATGCTTAGGGGAGCTGGTTTAGCACAGTTATTTACTTTTCCACAGCAACAATCCTTGTGAACACTCAGATTCTATAAGTAGCAATGGGCTCCATAAAAATATACTACCTAGGTTAGTATAAATCCATTGAAAGTTAGCAGTTCCACCTGCTTTGATCATGTAAGTCAGAATACAGGTACCAGCCCTTCAGGAAGGACACTGCTACAGTTAGGTCCTAGTTAGGTCCACAAAAGTAGTCTATTGCCTCTCCATGAATAGTCTTCATAGCTGGAGTTTTCCTGGTTCTGTTAAGCTCTTGCGGCCCTGCAGCCGGCCACTTGGGCCTAAGCAAACACACAGAGACTTATATTACTTATAAACTTATGGCTGGGCAGGCTTCCTGCTCTCTGTTCTTATATCTTAAATTAACCCATTTCTATTAATCTATAAGTTACCACATGGCTTGTGGCTTACTGGTACTTTTACATCTCAATTCCTCTGTGTCTGGCTGGTGACTCCTGACTCAGCCTTCCTGTTCCCAGAATTCTCTTCTCTGCTTGTCCTGCCTATACTTCCTGCCTGGCTATTGGCCAATCAGCATGAGTCTTTTAATTCTGACCCAGAGCCCTGTTCTGGGAATTTAAAAAGCTTTTATTCTGTGCCCTTTTAAAAAGAAAATTATGATCATTGCCAGTATTTATAGAATGCTCAGAAATTGCAAGGATTTTTATTTTTAAAAACTGGCTACGTGTTTTATGTTCATAGATACCAACAATAATTGGACTAAAATTCAGAAGTGTAAAGAACACTTAATTCCACTAGATTTTGGGTGTGGGGTAATGAGATTGATAAACCTCTCCCTGTTTTCTAAAATCATGGCCCAGAAGAATTTAATTTAATGTTGGCCTGCTTTTCTTTGATTCTTTCATAAAGTCTTCCCTCTTCCAGCACATACAAAGCCTCCAGTGTTTACTTAGATTGTGTATGGATTGAACAAGTTGACATACACTATAGAGTGGTGTTTTATTATCAGAGCAAAAACATCCCTTTAAATTACTAATTTCATTCACCCCACCCAATTTGGTAATTGGTGGTAAGTTTCCAGTGCCTGTGCTTGTGTGCTTTTATTTTCCTTTGTGTATGACATTCACTTAACTGGGTCAAAGTCTAGTTGAGGTTAAATGCAATTTTAAGACCACATTATTTTTGGTTTGGGCTGAGCTGAATTATATTCAAGACCTTTACTTACAGTAATTTTCAATCTTTCCCACTCATTTTTATAAAAGAACATAATGCAAGTAAAATTAAACTGTTGACAAGCACCAGGTGGCTATAGTTTGAAAGGGAAGTCTGGGTATTTATAAAAGGCCAGAGAAGGGCAGGACAGACCTAGGGTGCCGGTATATTGCTTACTAAGGCAACAAGTTCTTGGTATACAAGCTGAATCTTGGCAATGGGAAGCCTTTTTTGTTTCTAATGTTTTTTCTCCATGCATGTTGCTGCCATGTGCAGCTTTGCCCAGTAACTGCCCTGTCTTGATATTCTGTCTATCTCAAGGGTGTCTAATTTTTTTATTTCAGCAGAAATTATAGAGATATTGCTGTTACCACATGGTTAAAAAAATCTTCATGATTTGAAGAAATTATAATATTGAAAAACTTCAGGACAGAGGGACACTAGTCAGAACCAGGACTTCTTTGACATCTGTTATTCTCTACTTAAAGAAAAAGATAATTTTAGTTCCGCTAGCTAAGATACTTCTCACCTACCTACCTTGCAGGAGTGTTAACATGAGATAAAAATGTCTTGAACTGTAACATTCCATGAAAACATTCTACCCATCCCAGAAAGCATAAATTCAACTCTGATGATTAAAAGTACCAGCTGCTTCCTGAGATGTCTGTGTGTTAACATCCTGTAACAAATGGAAATAATTCCTGTAAATTGAATAAGGTTATAAAACATACTGGCTAGGAAATTATAGGAATAAAGTCTAATATACTTTTCTTTTTGCCTATTTAAGCCTTGAATTTGCTTATATTTTATTTGAGAAAGTATTATATGTTAGAAAGCAGGCCAGTGAGACAACTCAGTCAGTAAAGGCATTTACTGTCGGGCCTGGCAACCTGAGTTTAATCCACATCATGGAATAAGAGAACTGATTCCCACAAATTGCCCTCTGACTTCTACATGAGCAAGGTTTTGTGCATCCTGTTCTCACACATACACATAAATAAGAAAAGATAAAATGTATGCAGTTATTTCGGTTTCACAACTGAAAGAAAACCCTGACTGTAGGTGATTTGGGGTATATTATAAGGAAATTGCAAATTAAACTCTTGATTTATTTATAATGGAGATAAGATTTACTTGACCATCAGAGCATGAGGCACAAATTTGTGGGAAGATGATTCTGGTTCTTTAAAGGTATTCAAGAAATGTACTACTCAACTTATTTGTTTTTAATAGGTAAAAGAATCAAATTCTAGCTAGAAAACATTGTTTGCAAATTACGTCAAATGTCTTAGGATCTCTGATTGCTAGTACTGGAAGGAACCTTCTAAATGATCTAGTCTCCCCACACCATTTTATAGACTAAGGGTACCAGAGATTACACCTTAGTTAAAATCTCACATAACGTACTTAATTTATATGTATCTAGCATAGATGTAGATGATGTACAGTTGCATCTTGGAAGAGAATTACTTCAATAAAAAATTATCCTATTATGAATTCACTGTCAAAAGAAGTGGTACATTACTGTAAAATTGAGCTTGAAGCTGAATTAAATGATTTAAACTTGCTGATAATTTAAATGATCCAGATATGACCTTGCCAGGGTAGCCCTTTTTTGTATGTGGTTGGATAAAGTGCACTGCACTGAAGTAGCACTGTCTCTGTGGAAGGCAATAATGCCAGGAGTTTCTGACTCTGTCACCACCAAATCATATTTAGGGAGGAGAGAAATCATCACCGGTCAAGTGGCAAGTGATGTAATGTGTGACAAGCCAAGCATAAAGGAATAAATACTAGCTTTACTAACTAGGTCTTTTAAAACTCCATTTTCCTGAAGTAGTTTGAATTTAGCTTGAAGTAAACCATTTACCCCCAGCTTCAAACTCTTGTGTCTTTTATTGCCAGGAACATAGGACCTTCACAAAGCTTTGTTCTAAGAAAGGTGTTTTTAAGTCAGTTTTCTTGTTTTGTTTTGTTTGTTGTTGCTTGTTTCTGAGAGGGCATAACCCAAGTGTCAGATGTTCCTCTCTCCCTGGTGTGCATGCTTGTAATCTCTTTTCTGCCATTAGCAAACTTGGATTCAGAATTTAACACTCGATTCAAGATTATTTTCTGCAAAATGCAATAAAGCCAACCTGTTGCTGAACAATGTAGGATTTCCCAGACATCCAAGTGAGAAAATCCAAAAGAAAATTTACCTTCCTGAGCCTCTTGATATTCATCTTCTCCAGAGCTTCTTGCTTACCTGGGCATTTCTCGGTGATCTTACATAGAGATGAAACACACACACACACACACACACACACACACACACACACACACACACACACACACACATGCACACATGCATTTTCACAAGCCAACAAACCCCAGAGACACACAGACACAGACACAGACCCCCTTGCT